TACACGCAGTTGTTTAGGGAAGTTGGCACACCCAGGTCAGTGGACCTTGAAAGGTGCAGAAATGCTACAGTGCCTTTATTTAAAAAACAAAACAACACATGCATTTCAGAAGTGTAAAAAAGCCGGCAGGTAAAGAGAAGAAGCATTCTCCTGGCAATCCTTCCAAACAAACTTGTGTTGTTGCCTTTTCTGCGAGCACTGAACAGTCTGACCTTGGGCGAATTTGCTGGGATGTCGCTTCCTAAGAAGATTGTGGTACTGTGTCAACACACTCGAATGCGCCAAACCAGCAAGCTATCAAAACGTCTGCTTTTAGAGAGGCGCTCGCACTCATTGATGATCACTTAATCAAGTGCATCTGATTATCAGCACCCAGCTGCCAATTACCCTCTTAATTCCTATGGCAGCAGTAAAGGTGGGCTTAGTTTTTCACGCTATAACACAACACCATTGCTATAGTTTTTTTTAAACATTACAAGCTACACCACGTTGAGGAGGAAAATAAATCAAAGAAACCTCCTAAAGTTAATGAATCTACCATCTGCTATCCAGCTTTTTTTTTAGTTGAACAGCTTTTATTAGATTTTTATACAAGGCAAGTTTTGACAGAGCTTCACTGTGTGTAGACCCTGGGTTAATGAGTTGACGCCCTTTCTAATTTTACAACAGTATAAGTATGATTCCCCCAACACACAGCTCTTTCTGGAGCAACGATTTCAAGCATCTCCAGGCATGCCTTCACAAGTGGTGAGGGGACGATTTATGTCAACTGCTTAGAGCACACCTCTTATTGCACTCAGTGCTCGTGTTGCATGTGTGTGTGTGTTTACATGCTGGGAAACACAAAGAATTCCCACATAAATGTAATGATTGCGGAATATGCCTGACAGACGGGGTCTCACGTTTCCCTGCTACCCTAATGTAACACTGACACAACCACACGCGCAGGGGTAAAAATCACAAGCAGCCACAGTGGAGCATCAGCTCTGGACCTTCAGGCCAACATTGCATCTCACTGTAGACAGCTGTTGTTTGTTAGGCGAGGCAAGGCGAGGTCGGGCACTAAGCAGCGACGAGTCTAGCCGAGTGTGCCTGAGCGAGGAGTGCCAGTTCTGGTATTTTAGGCAGTCAGACACTGTCACCTGTCAGCGAACTAGTCTAGACACGGTCTCCCACGTGGTGCGAGAATAAGCTACACAACGATATCAACCTCTCAGCGGCTAGTCAGGAGGACGGCAGTGTGTGCAGAACGGCTGCAGAGCGCAGATCGCCACATACAGACTGATGTGAACAGGCAGGGAGGGTAACGCTGGGTTGTTTTACGGTTGATGTTTCAGAGTTCTTGGAAAGTGAAATGGGCCAAAGTGAAAGTGAGGCGCAGTCCGACACCCTGGCAGCGTTCTTGCAGGACCTTTCCTCTCATGATCATAATGATGGTACGTCTCACCCAGGAAAAACCAACAGCAGCAAGGAAGGAGGTGCGCTCCAATATATTTGCAACTGACTGTTTACTCCTTAGCAGTTTTCTTTCAAATTAAGGTAAAATTCTTAATCCTACTTAAAAATGTAACTGCATTTTTTTCTTTTCAGAAATTTATCCAGAGAACAAAATATACAAAGCTATGGCAGAATGTGACTGCGGCACTGATGACCACCAGCTTTTTGAAGCAGAGTGGTACTGGGGCAACATTTCAAGGTACTTTATATTTCTATCACTTTTTCTTTCTTTCAGCCAACACCACTGTTACAGCACATCTAATTTTATTGACGTTGTCTTCCTCAGACCGTTATAATTAACAGAAACCTTCATGTCCATTTGATTTGTTCAGAGAGGAAGTAAACGAGATGATGAGAAACACTCCTGATGGTACATTCCTGGTTCGAGATGCTTCCAGTAGGATTAAAGGAGAATACACGCTGACATTAAGGTAACTGCTAGAAGATTAGTGACAAGCATGCATATGGCTACACTTTCGTAAAGTGTATCAAACACAACTAGTTAAAGACTGTACCAGGTTTTATGAATTTTATTGCTGCATTACAACCAGTCATCAGTAGTCTGTATCTCACGTGAAAAAAAAGTTAACCCCAAATTAAATATATATATATTGTAGTCAAAGGTTAGTTATTATTTCCTGGGCTCGGAGTCTAAATTTAGTTTTACTGGTTTTAAAGTGTAACTTTATACGTTTTGTGGTTTCGCTCTAATTTTAGCGGAATTGGGACAGACCAGGTTTCAGATATAAAGCTTTGTTGATTAGAGTTTGGCGTAGACTCCAATGTTCAGCAACATAACACCCTGTCCCCACAAGATGTTTCACGAGTGTTTTTCCAGTCATCCATCTTACATTTGGATGAAAGAACACACACACACACACACACACACACACATTTTAGAGATCTAAAAGTCTCCTGTCGGGAAAAGCGAGAGTGACTAAACAGAACCAGGAGAGGCTCTAATGGGGAACAAAGCTCCCTACTTGCTAGCCTAAAATGACAAGAAGTACCACGTTATTTATGGGACAACTATCCTTTGACTTTTGCAGAAAAGACGCTTCAAACAGACTAATTAAAATCTTCCATAATGGGGGCAAGTACGGCTTCTCTGAGCCACTGGCTTTTTCCTCTGTAGCGGATCTGATCCAGTATTACCAGAAGAAGTCACTGGCCCAGTACAACTCTAAACTGGATACACGGTTACTCTATCCAATATCCAGAAACCAGCAGGTAAACCTTTTGGGGCAATTTAACTGTGAACTTTTGTTTTCTTACATTACAACAACATTGCAACAAGATGTAATCAACTGAAGACTTTTACCACATGGTCTGTTACTGGTATTGGAACAAAACCGCCGTGCTAATGTCCAGACTAAATCCATCATCCTTTTTTACCGTTTTGTGCATATAGCAGCAGGTTGTGATGGAAGCTGACATTGATGCAGCTGGGGAACAGCTAAGGATATTTCAGGATCAATACAAAGAAAAAAGCAAAGAATATGACCGCCTATTCGAGGAGCTGAATCTGACCTCCCAGGTACATGATCTTAATCCTTTTCACCATGTAAATTTATACTTTTTTCTTTTCAGAGCCCTTTCCTTTAAAGACTTAAAAACAAACGGTTTGTTTTCTCTTCTTCCTAGGAACTGCAGAGCAAGCGAACTGCCATTGAGGCTTTCAGCGAAATCATTCGGATCTTTGAGGAGGAATGTGAAACCCAAGAGCGCTACAGCAAGGAATACATCGACATGTTCCTCACATTAGACAGCAGTACAGAATCCGACAAGTACGTTCACAAAGCACCTGGTTTTCCACTTTTTGTTTAAAAACAAGTTGAATTAATAATAGTTGCTAGTTTAGTTGAGTCATTCCTTCAATTTTACTTCCAGAATTCAAAACAATTCAGATGAACTACAGTCGAGGGTGGAAGAGATCCACAGCAGCAAGAAGAAGTTAGAGGAGGAACTGAGGAACAAGGCACTGGTTCACATGGAGGTCGACAGGAAAATGAACAAACTGAAGCCTGACCTTGTGGAGCTCCGGAAGCTCAGAGATCAATATCTGGTGTAAGTTTAACCCTTCACTGTCCCATGTTTGGGCTTGTTGTACAGTGGTTCCAATTTAGGTTCCAAAATTTCCAAAATAACAAGAGATCAGTATCAGCATGGGCCAAACTATGACTTTAAACATTGGTGTCAGGGTTGGATTTTACAATCGGTGCATCAGTGAAGCAAGGACTGAAAGACAAAACACAGTGTGTCCTGCACAGTGTCACAGCTACTGAGAGATGCGTGTTGTGACTTCACAGTCAAACGAGTATCTCAATCTGATTCTTACATTTCATCACATTCCAATAACACAGCTGCGTTATAAACATAGAAAATAAATCAGCTGTTCTCCATGTTGTCACAGCTGTGCAGCTCTACTATGCTTGGTATGGAGCTTTATCATAAGCCTGATTGGTAGTGCGTGTCTTTCTAGCCAACTGTTGCCCTTTCACATGAAGTAAACCTGAACAAGTATCAATATAGTTAGCCTAAAGCACAACTGTAAATGTACGTAATTTACTGGGCAGTGCAAAAAACAAACAAACATGTATATACTGTATCTCTCTTTTTACTGTGTAACCCTTTGATCGATGTCGTTGATCTGGATTGGATTGGATTTCTAGCATATAGGTGAAATAATCTCCTTTTTAAACTTTAAAGTGACATTAGTGAATCAATAATCATCCACTAATACAATGTGTGTGCTTCTTTGTAATAAGTGCTTCTACTTTTAGCACTTTAAGTATATTTTGATGCTTAAAGATTTGCACTATTACTTAACCAGTGGTCACAATCCTTCTTTAAGTAAAGGGACTGAACACTTAAAGAGTAAAGTCAATGTTCTACAGCGGCACTTTTTATGAATACCATCCGTATTAGATGAAAGGGATGCCAGTGAGTCTGAAAATCATGGCTGATGTTTTCTACACCAATTTACTGCCCTGTATTGATTTGGCTTTTCTGATCAAATAGCCTGATTACTCATTGGTGTTCCTTTTTAAAAAAATAAATAAATAAAAAATCCTGGAAACTACCCTGATAAACATGTAACAGCACTCCAACTGTTTATTGTCCATGTTTCAGTTGGCTAACTCAACAAGGCACCAGGCAGAGCCAGATAAATGACTGGCTCGGTATCAGGAGTGAAGAAGAAGAGTAAGTATCCCTTTTCTCTTGGCCTGTGGCCACATTAGTCAAATGTTTTATAGTTTTGGAGTAAAATGTCACAAAGGCATGTTCACTGACAACACACATACTGTATACGTGGCTCATCGTGCCACCCATGTTGCTATTTTTGGTTCATATGATCGATACTAACACCAACACTCAACAAAACTGAGCACAACTGCTTAAAATCATCACACCTCTCCCTCTCCACCGGCTAGCCCATACACCCTAGCAGATGATACCCACCAGGAGGAGAGGAGCTGGTACGTTGGTGCTATGAGACGAAAGGAGGCGGAGGAGCTGCTGAGAGGGAAGAGAGATGGGACATTCTTAATCAGAGACAGCCAGACTCGGAGAGGCTCCTTTGCCTGCTCTGTCGTGTGAGTGTTTTAGGTACTTAATGTTTGGATGCTCTGTAGATAAATCCTGTAGATACCAAATAATCAGTTTCCTCTCTCATACAGTGTGGACGGGGAAGTGAAACACTGTGTAATTTACAGGACGTCCACCGGATACGGCTTCGCTGAGCCCTACAACCTGTACTCATCACTGAGAGAGCTCGTCCTTCACTACCGTCACACATCCTTGATCCAGCACAATCAGCAGCTGAATGTAACCCTGGCCTGGCCCGCTCTCAGCCAGCAGCCCAGCTGAGACACACCAGCACACACCCAGTAACAGTACTGTGGACACACCCGAACAGACACTATTACCAGGCTCAAAACAGCATACCGGTTAGTGTCATCACTGCACTAAAATATTCAGTGCTAAGATTGGATAATAATCTAAACATTGCTTTTATGCCAAACAAAAGTCATTTTATTACTCTTTTGTTATTATTATAATTTCTGTGTTTAAAAAGTCAATTTACTTTTCATCACCAGCTAAAGTTTGCCAGAAGCTTTTGCAGAAGTCAGTTGTAAATACTCAACTAAACTGTCCTAGTACAGAACTCAGCCTCACTCGTTTCCCCAAAGTGTTGCAAAAAGCCGTGCAGTGAATTGGATTCTGAATACAACACTTCCATTAAAAGAGTAACTAAAGCAAAGGCACAAAATATTTAGGAAAACACAAATAACAAAATTTGTCATTGCAATGTTGATTTCAATTATTCTTTTGTCCCAAAGCTAAAACAATCCAGCACAAGTTTCTGTATTTTTATCTAGACGCAAGCACAAGAAATGACTATTTTAATGAAGAAGCCAAATATAAAATAGCTTCACTGCTATCAAGTTTTTGTATTTATAGTTGGCCACTCCTGACCTCTACCACACTTGTTTTAACTTGTTTGAACAAAAACAAACCAGTGTGCGTTTCTTAAATTGATTTCTTAAGCTTTGTAATCATCTAACAAATGCATAGAAACAGTGAAGCAACAACAATATGAACAGAAAAAAAGCCCAGTATGGGACAGAACCACTTTCAAAATAAGATAGCCTGAATACACACAGAGGATTGGATTCCTGTATTTTAAGACTTCTCCAGTTCAACTTCACATTTAGATGATATTGATATTTTCATTTTCTGATAAGGAGTTAGAACTAATGGAGCAAGAGGTTGAAAGGCTAGTCTAACTGCTTTAATGCTGACTGATCTGGTCACATTTGAGGCTTCTTAGGCGCAAACATGACATTACAAAACTACATTAAGTTATAGTTATGAAAACTAACCTTAATAAGGGTCAGTAAGGAATTTGACAGGATTTGGACCTGCTCAGTGAGAAATCTAAATTTAACAGCCATTTGATTTGAAGTGATTTTGGTTGGAGTCCAGGAGATTTGTTAATTCAATTCAGTTCTATTCTATTTATACAGCGCCAAATTACAACAACAGTCGCCTCAAGGCACTTTATATTGTAAGGTAGACCCTACAATAATACATACAGAGAAAAACCCAACAATCATATGACTCCCTATGAGCAAGCACTTTGGTGACAGTGGGAAAGAAAAACACCCTTTTAACAGCAAGAAACCTCCGGCAGAACCAGGCTCAGGGAGGGGCGGGCCATCTGCTGTGACTGGTTGGGGAGAGAGAAGGAAGATGGGATAAAAAAACAAAGTTAAAAAGCCTGATGTAAGGTGACCATTACAAGGTTATACTACAGGACTTCCAGGTTCATAGCAAACTGTAGAATAGTGCCTTTAAGTGCTTCTTTCCAACCAACATGTTTCTCTTGCAGACAACAACAGTCTGATGAACCAAACAGATAGACAATCTCTAGTTGAATATCTTATAACAAGGTAGTTGCTACTTCCCTAAACGCATGGCGTCTGATTATAAAAACAAAGGTTAATGATTTTAATGATTTTAGCCATGATCCTGGTGGCTGTCAACAAAAGACACAAGGAAAAAGAAGCAGGTATGATTGGTTCGTGAAAGCAGTGTGTGTGTTGTGGCGTTTTTTTTAAAGGCTTTATATTGAGTTTAGATTTTAAATTTTCTACTTTTTTGGATTGAGAATGATAAAAAAAAATAAGGGGGATTGGTACCCACTAACAAATTTTGGTTATATCAACACCCCTAGCACATAACATAGAGACTTACAACTGACCAAACAGCTGTAACAATTTTTATCATTACTGCTAGAATTTTGCAGGCATATTCGCTAGCTAGGTATTAACTAATAATGTAAAGATTCCAACTATGGGGACCAAAAACAGTATGTTACAATAAAATTAGATAGGTAATGATTTTTAGTTTTTTGAACCACACCAGCAGACCATACCTGAGAAGTTTTTTTTCCTCTTAAGTGTAAATGAGATATATACACGGTAGAAAATTGTGTCTATATTGATAAAAGTATCATTTAAAATTAAAACTGTTTACATTTCAGATCTATCCAGGTATGTGCAGCCCTGGATAAGTAGCAGGTTTGTAACCCAGGGACTTCTTTGATTGTGCAATTTTTGAGCAGAGATGAAGTGGTGCTTGTGGATATCATCGATTAAACTATTTTTATAGAGGAGAACACAGCAGTGAATAAACCTAGCTTGGTCTGCCCATGAATTAAGAAACAATTAAACATATATAAAGATATGAAGAGTTAATTTTACATATCGTGACCTGTATATATTTTTTCTTGTGTCATCGGGTCACATTAAAATGCACTTCTCTCTTTATGGTCACACGTTCTTGATTGTCATTGCGTATGTACACTTGAAGTTAAATGTCAGACTGTTTATTGCCACGAAGGGAGAGAAACTGTCAGGTTCCTACTTTGTGGTAGTGAAAAGGTGTATATGTTTGATTTTTGCATGCTATTATTGTGTAACAGGTTTTAAAAGGTATAATGCATATTACTAAATCAGAATTTTATGGCTGGAAACTGTTTTGATACCAGTTCTGGTATTAGAATGACACCAGCAGCTATGAAATCGATTTTGTTTAGCCTCCATTAATGGTGCTAGGCACTTATTGCTATAGTTTTCCTTTAATGCGTCTCTTTCGATCACCTGTCAGTATTAGTCAAACTGTGACGAGTTCTTTATCAAAGCAAATGGAAATGTTTTCGTGTTGGCAGTGGTCTGTCGTGCTCGTAACCACATCAGTCTGTGAAATAGTGTTGCACAGTAGTAAACTGTCCATCGCTGCATTGCACAGGTCGCGGACGGAGTGCGCCACAATCGTCACATGACAGCACGAGGAGGCAAAATAGGCGCCCGTTCCTCCGCCACGTTATCTCGTCATCGTCTTTTTTGTATTTTTTGCACACTGAATAGATTGAGTCTATAACTGCAATATATTTATTTAATACACACACACACACATATATATATATATAACACTTCTAAAAATGAAGTGTTAGCTATATTGGTAAATTTTGTAGCAAGAATTTAAAATATGAAATCAATTTACACAGGTTATATGTGCACAAAGACCACTGCTCTGTGGAGTTTAGGTTTAAAGCATAGCATTTGCACACACGTAACTCCACATTTGAGGTGGAGATGCTGTGACTGTCTTCACCCTGTTACTAAGGCAGGTGGACATGTGGGATTTGTAAATATGGTCAAGTTGCTCATGAGATTGATGCACAGTAGCACTGATTTTTAAAATATATATATATATATTTATCTTCAGTTGGTGGCATCTTCATTGAGCTGACCACTTAATAGGATTTGTACTTCAGCAAAGTCATGCCTCTTTGTAATTAGCATTTGCACAATTCGGTCTTTTTCTGTCTCTTCGTGTATCTTAATGTTTTATCACTGTGCAAACAAAAACAAAATAGAGATGGTGAAATGATCCCAGCAGGGGATCATGAAGTGTCATCATGATCTGCTACCTAATGATACAACCATTACCGTGTTTTATCTGCTGCTGTATAGGAATAGAAATATACACAGCTACAGAAATTTAACAAATATTCACATATCTTACAAATACACAGATGTTAATTATCAAAGATAGGCTCTTTAACCAGCCTGCTGAGGTTTATAACTAAATAAAAGAAACAAATGATTGCCATTTAGCGTTTGACCTTTAGAACTGTGTAGTCCTTGAATTTGTATGTGCGAACCATATTAAGGAGGTTTAGTACCAGTAATATTTGTTTTTTCCCTTCAGAAACCTCCAAAAGTTTGTTGGCATTTATGCTAGATACCACAGATTTGTGGCATGAAAGTGAAAATCGGGCTACCGTAATTAGTTTATGGGAAAGTAACAGCAGAAACAGTTATGTTGAGGTATTAGTTATGTAGGGCAAGAAAGATGGTGTGGCATGTGTTCAGGTACAGTATTATGATGGAGGTTAGTAAGTATGTCAGTTGGAGGTGGTATGTGGGGATGGATTAGGTGGAAGGAGTCTGGTGAGATATTTGTATTCACCCAAACTCTAGGCTGTTGCCCTTTCTTTCATGCCGTAACCTGATGAGATCTAGCAGGTCACGTGATGTGGAACTACTTAGTATAGAATATATATCTGTTTTCTTTCTCACGATGAGCTGTACATTTGATCCGATACCTCTGTCTCTGGCTCACATGCATTATCGTATTTGTTAAAATTATGTTTCTGTATCTTTCATTTTAATCTTTTCATTGTGTCTGTATACACTTGTTCTTTTTTTGTATCTGATCTAAAGGATTTAGCTGCATTAGTTGTACGACTACTGCTGTGAGAAAATACTGTTCTTGTAACTGTTTATTTACTGTATTGATTATGCAATAACATTCAGCTTGTTGTCTTGAATCAGAATCAGCTTGTGCGTCCTTTGAGGAGTTATAGAAGAAAAGTGGTATTAAACTTCTTCTCCATTTTTTTTTTTTAATGTAAACCCCAACTTTACCAACTTCAGAACTGTACTGTTCATGTATGCACTTTCAGATCCCAAATAAAAGATTATAGCTTCACGGGTTGTTTGGAGTATTATTTAATGCCATCATTTCAGCAACTTGTTGGATCTCTCTAAATGGCGTCACAAAACAGCAGCTAATGTAGGCTAGGTCACCGATATTAATGGATCTGTAACGGCTTACAGATTATTAGAATTTTACACATTACCAATTAATAACATCAAAATCCAAGGTTGGCGTTCCACGAAGATGGCGCAAGATGCCGCGTTTCATCTGTCATTAGCTGTCTCTGCAAAGAAAAGAAAAGAAGAAAAAAACCGTCAACACTTGCTCTGCGTTTCTTTTTTAAATTTAAGTTTAGTGGCTATCTAGTTAAAGCTGGAATTTTGGCCTTTTTTAAAAAAAAGTAAATACTAATATATATTAATTCCTATCAAACTGTCAGCCTTTTCAGATCATTATTTTGTTACTCCCTTAGGCTATGTCCACACGTACACGGGTATTTTTGAAAACGGAGATTTTCCGTTTTC